CTAAATTATGCAGCCGGTTCTAATTCAACAACAAACGGTTTTTGGGTATAGAAAAACTGGTGACCAGTCTATTTCCTGGCTTAACCGGTTGGTATTCAAAACATGCTTCTTTTATATCTTTATTCTTTTAAAATTGCTTTTACAAAGTTATTTTTTTTTACAAAGATGTGTGAAGAAGAGTGGAAGAGTGAAGAAGATTATTAAGCACCAATAGACCAACCTTTTGGCTTCCATTTCTTATATAAAACCAAACATTTCCAAAATTAATACTTTCTAGTTTGAGTAAATTACTGAAATCGTCCCTGTGGTTTGGTTAAAATTGTCTATTTGGTCCCTAACTTTTATTTTGCACTCGTATCGTCCTTGTGGTTTGATTTTGTTGCATTTTTCGTCCCTATGGTTTGGTCAAAATTGCATGTTTGGTCCCTAACTTTATGTATGTAAGGGACGAAAAACGCACCTGTGTAACTTTTGATACAACATCCTCTTCAGCGGATCATTTCATGAACTCCATTTGGTTACAAGTTAAAGTCCCAACATAATCATTTCATCAAACAAATATATATATATATATATATATATATATATATATATATATATATATATATATATATATATATATATATATATATATATATAGAAGAAGAAGAAGAAAAAAACAGTTTCATGATCCTTATATATAAGATATGCTCTTTTTCTTGATTGAGAGTAAAATGTTCGATTTCAAAAAAGTAGATTGTTATAATTAAATTTATAATGTAATAGATGGTTAGATCATCAAAATACAATAACTTAATAGGAAAAATATGTAAAAGTCAGTGTCTTTCATTAAAATTGAACTATAAGACTGTATGTAATATAGCCAAAATCATACAACTTTATATAGTCAAAGTACAATTCCTGAGGGGTTAATTTTCAAAGTAATTAATGTTAAGATTTGAAAGTAATTAATGTCATAAGTGGATTTTCAAAGTGAAATTGTCTTAATAGTAAAAATATCAAAGTTCGGTGTCTTAATAGGAAAACAATTAAAAGGTTAGATTTCAATGCACAATTTTTAGTAAAAAACAAATAGAATCTTAATAGGAAACAATTAAAAGGACAATATCTTAATAGGTTAGATGGTAAGACTATAATAATGTAAATGATGGTATAATTGTGCCATTTTATGGTAGCAATAGAGAATAAAGACAATTATTTTACCTTAGAAAGGGCAATTTGGTAAAATAGCAACATACTTGGCTTGTTTGCTCTTCTGATAATATCAGCATATTATAGTATCATGTTTCTAATATGTTAGGTTTTGAAAGTATAATGCTGTAATTGGTATGATGTTTATACTTGGTTTTTCATACTACAATCTCTTATAGGAAAAAGAAAATGGAAAGTATAATTCCATTATCAGTAACCAATAATACCAAACAAGTTTCAAATTCCAAAGTACAAAGTTTTAATAGGTTAAAACTTTCATGTGCTCTTTATAAGGAAAAAGTTAAAAAGTACAATATGTTAACAGGTTAATTCTTGAAAATTCACCACTATAAATAAAGGTAAAATGATAAAATTAAAGAAAGTTTACCCTATTAGACATTTTGCATGTATATTATTAAGTAATCAACAAAGTATAGTTTGGCAGCTTGTAATCAGTGGATAGAATGCATAATCACCCAACACAACACCTTTATTTGAGATTCAATGGAACTAAAAGTGAACCTTCAAACATTAACAGAAAAGCTGAATAAGAACACAAAAAGCATCAAGTGTTTTATGGTATTTAGGGTAAAAACATACAACTATGAAATTCATATAGATATATTCAATATTTTTTACATCATAATAAAAATGATATTTAAGAAATGCAAAAACCTTTTTGAAGATCCATCTTGGTTATTGTGGACCAAAACAGAAAAGATCCACAAAGTTGTTGATAGGAAGAAACAACCACACATTCATTGTACTTGGAAAAATCTTTGTAATTATAGCAATGTCATCATGACACAAGGCAATTTTCATTGCTATGGTTGGCTAGCCTTTTGAAATTCTCAAGCATGTTCAAGCATGCATCATAGCTTAATGAAGAGGTTCCTGCAAAAAAATGAAGTTTTTTTAACAAAAATTCTCGTATATAATATTTTTATTCACAAAAGAGAATTGATTATTACCTCTTTATATTGACCACTTGTTTTTAAACATTTCAACCCACCAAAGACCATAACATGTGGCATTTCCCTTCCCTGATGTCCCAATTCGCTAAATAAAACAAGACTTCTTAAATTAAAAAAAAAAAATAGAATTGATTAAATAACAAATATCTTTTGTAAAGAATTACCAGGCGTACCGAATAAGTACTGAAAGTGAACCTTTAAACATTGACAGAAAAGCTAACTAAGAACATAAAAAGAATTGAAGTGAAATATATAAACACCCTTTAGTGATTTTTTTTTTTTTTTTATTATAAAATAATAGAATTGCTATTTACTGAAAAAGATTTTATTTGTGAAACAATTATTAAACACTAGTTATATAAACATCAAACTACATGGTCTAATTTCATAAACATTAATAAAAGTAACATGACATAAAAAATGACTTATGAAGAAAAATAAATAACTGATTATAAATATCAACATTATAGAGTTGTATATTAGGATAAATTAGGGGTGAGAATAACGAAGAAGGATTAATTTATTCTTTTTCATAAAGAAATAAATAATGGAATTTCAATTCTTCCCTAGGAATGATGAAATCCTTTGAAAACAGATTTTGGAAGAATTTGATGAAATTTAATTCCATCCATTTTGTCAGCCAAATGTGTAACTGAAGGAATCTCCCATTCCAATTCCTTCAAATTTCTATGGAATACATGAATCAAACACGCCCTAAATTTCTCTTGGGATTAAAATAGAAAAGGTAGGAAATAAAAACAACATGCTGATTTTGAAAATGTCATGTTGCATGATAGTTATACTGTTATATAGTCTTAAAAAAATTGTTTTTTTTTTTTTCAGAAAGAACCTCATCCACATCCTCTTTGTTGAGTCAATAGCCAAGATGCTGACTAGGAGAAGCATTAGACATCTGTAAAAAAATCCAAGTCATTCAAGTTTTATTTTATGAAAAGATGGAAACAAATTGTATATTCAATCATTTACCCCAATTGTGCCTCTCATTTCTGCCAATACCTTAGTTGCTCTGTATCACATGCAATTATGAAATTCACAATGCACTTTAAAAACTTAACCATGTTTTATTGAAAAATTGGAACCATATTTGTTTACAGGTTGAGAACCAGTAAACAAATACTTTAAAGTGATAAAATTTTAACTCTTACAACTGTGTGTAACTTTCACACAGTAAAATTGGATGAAAAACTTACAGACAGGTATAGTTTCTATAAGTGATGGCTGTATGTATCAGTAATAACCTATCCCATGTCACCTACTTGAATGAAAAAGCATTTCTCAGAAAAAAAAAAAAAAAAAAAAAAGGGTACTCAAAGGTTTTAAATAAAACAACTAACACTAAACAGATAAAGTTATACATCAACATTGTAACATTTGATGAACATCTGTGATACAGATAAAGTTAAACAATAATGACAGATAAATTTGGTTGTTGAACATCTGTGATACAATTTTAACTTGTGTAGCCTAGTTTGTAAGGTTGATGTGTATAATTAGTTTCTTGTCTACAAACTATGCATATGTTAAAAGGACCTCTTCTTTGTAATCTTATTATATTCAAAAGACCAATTTCAATAAAAAAATTACACTCTAAAAAAAATACAACTTAGAAATCCAATTAAAAATGTGAGATGCTACCAAACGAATTTACCATTTTGATCAACTTCTTTCGGCTTCTCCTTAATCTACTTTGACAGCTGAAAATAGGTCAACTGGGAAATAAAGGAATAAGGAATAAGTTCCAAAGAAAGATTTATGTTCGCCAAATCCAAACACAATAAAGCATCATTTAAACTTCAAAGTGATTTTTGTTTTAAAAATGAAAGTAGCATGCTATTTTTGTCATAACAGTGAAAGTAGCATGCTATTCTTCCCTGAAAATATTTTTAACACGCATGGTAAATATATTGAACATACATACAAATAAAAAAAAAACTAAAATACACTTGATGGGACAAATAAAGATTAGTAAAAAATCATAACAATAGCTAACAAATATTTGAGAATAATCAAGAATCATACTTGTGTAGTGTGTATATAGGAATACACCAATAAGATTCAAATCAACAACTTCCTGAAACTATGGCCTACTGTTTAGATCGATGTAAGTGACTCACCACCACCACCTGCAGCCTCAATCTGAAAGAAATAGCCACTTCCATTATATGGAGTCGCAATTCATTAGAAGAGAAATTATATATTGAGATGTAAAGAGAATTCACCTCTTTACAAATTTGTTTTGCTTCCTTAGGTGAGCTTGCATAATTAACCAAAACCTTGCATGTTATTTTTTTTTAATAGAAATGAAAGTAGCATTCTATTTTTTCATAAAAATGAAAATAGCATGTTAATTTTGTCTTCAAAATGAAAGTAGCATGTTATTTTTGTCATAACATGAAAGTAGCATGTTATTTTTGTCATAACAATGAGAGTAGCATGAGGGTAAATTAGTCATTGACTCATAATTTACATAACCATGTCAAATATATGTAGTACCTGGAAAACCCTCTTTCGACTTTTGTTAGTTAGAATATCAGAATAACTTAAAGTCGCAGGTCACAATCAAAACAACATACAGCAGTGAGAAAAACAATATTGATGAGTTTCTGAACCCTAGATCTCAGATTTAGAGAAAAATTCTGCCAAAACATATGAACAACGATATTTCAAAAAGATTCAGCAGAAGACTCCTGAAAAAAATCGTATTCGCGTATACTAAAAAGTAGTTGTTATTTTGAAGCATAAATTCAGTACAAGCCACATATGATAATCAAAACAACAAACTGCAATTGATCGATTAAAGTTTCGAAACCCTAGATGTCAAAAAAAGAAGAAGCAAACCTGTGTTTGAATCGGAAGAGCAGGTTTGTTCGACATCATTTGTTCTTCTTGTTCTTAGCAGTTAGCAACCTTTTCGAATTCCATCGGTTTTACGATCTCCAGCGAAGGATGGTGATGCGTTGGTCTCCAAGGAAGAGCGGAGAAGTTTCTGGAATGGCTATGGATCTCTGGACTTTGGGTGTTTTGAACGTCTGTTAGGAGCGTGATACCTGAAGACGTATATATTGCGGGAACACTAAGCCAACCTTTCGAATTCTAACGGTCTAATATTATAAAAGCTTTCCAAAATTAAGAGTTTTTAAATTACAGCTTAATCTTAAACTTATTAATATGCTTACTTCTTGTTTTTATATAGAACAACTTAAACTTATTTAAATGTTTTCTTAGGGGGTGTTTGGCTTGTCTTTTTGAGAGATAAAAGAACTTTTTGGAAAAGTTACAAAAAATCAGGTTTTCCTAACTTTTCCAAAAAGTCATTTTTCCTTCTATCTCAAATCCAAACTCACTTTTAAAATATATTTACCAAACATCTTTTGCCATTTATCTTTTCCAAAAAAAACTTTTACCCTTTCAAAAGACAAACCAAACACCCCCTTAGTAATGGTTTTGGCAATACTCAATTTGATTAACTCAATGTTGTTTTCACATGGATTTCACCTATGACCCTAAATTGTGTGTTTTATTGGAGACAATTGTGTATTAAAATGTTAAGGGTAGACAAACGTGGATTTATTATCAACTAATTGGTTATTATTAGTTTGTTTAATATTTTGGAGGTTTTGGGAAAATTGACATAAAAGTCCTTAAATGTTATAAGTTTTGTCTGTTTTATCCTTTGTCCGTAAGACGATTTCTTATGCGGTTATGCCTGATATTTTGGAGATTTTTTTTTTGGCATATATGGCATTTATCAAGTCATCCACCGGTGGTTGTTAAAGGACACTAATGGCATGAGACATAGTTATTAGACATTTAGAAGCCAAAAACCTATCTAAAGGCTATCATCTTTTTGCACCAAAACACACCTGAATAAACGTTTGCTCCATTTCTCCATGAAGACCATCATCACCGGAAAGGGTTTTTAAATAATTTTAGGGTTCGATTATCAATTAGAAATTCTTGTGGAAGGCAAAATCTTATATATTTGCAGTTGGGTAAACGAAGTCGATAATCATATGCTAAGTATCTTACACACTAAAACGAAGTTGTTCTTTGATTTCTTTCTTGCAATCGCTTTCTGAAACCTTTAATTTATGTAGGACAGTAGGAGTAAAGAACGACTTGATCGGAGGACGATTGGACGACCCATTTGTTGGTTTGAACGAGCGTTTGGCTTGAACGAGAAGGACTTTTACCTTCATGGGATTTACATGGACCATGAACCAAAGAATGAGTTTGTTAGCACCCTAGACAAGTGTAAGGACGCATTCCTGAATATATTACTTAATGGTGCTAACCTACAAAGTGCAAGTATGTCTAATGAAATGAGAGTACAATTCTACCATACTAATGATTGGGAAAGTGACAAAGAAGTTGAGGAATTAGTAAAAAACGACCTACAAAGTTCATGATCTAAACATCAGATAGGACTAGATGGAACCAAAGTTTGGTGATATATTTGAATCTCCTACTCAATTAAAGTTTTGTGTGGCAAATTATGTTATGACCCACGGGTATCAGATATATTTTGAGAAATATGACAGTGTAAGAGTTTTTACAAAATGTGGAAAAAGAAAGAAATATATAACTCATGCCTTTTTCAGATTGCATGTTGCTTGGATGTACAAAGAAAGGTCATTCCATATCAAAACTTTGAGGGTGTGTTTGAGATTCCTTTTGACTTTTTATAAAGATTTAAAAAAATAAAAAATGAGATCTTTAAAATGTATTTGTCTTGGCTTTAAGATTTTGTTCATGGCAAAAAGTTGATTTAAAATAACTTTTCTATTTTGCCAAATATCTTTTGAACTTTTTGGAAAAGTTACAAGTCCAAAAGTTGTTTTAAAATGAATGCCAAATACCCCCTGAATGGTACACATAAATGTTCTAGTAAATTCAAGTTTGGTTCAACTGTGTAGTTGGGTCCCTGAATAGGTTGGGCGACATTACATTACTAAAATTGCATATAAACCAAAGATTAAACTTACGGAGATGATTGTTAATATCAAGCAGAAGTACATATGTTAAAGTGTCTATTGGCCAATGTACGAGAGCCAAAAAAAAAAGGCTAGAAAGTTGATTGAAGGTAAGTTAACTAGCATTATGCAATGATATAGGACTATGCCTATGAGCTATTAAGATCAAACCTATGGTCTATTTGCAAGGTTGGTGTAATCAACAACCCTCATGGAAAGAACTATTTCGATAGATTTATATTTGTTTGAAAGCTTTAAGCATTGGTGTAACACTCCGAGGTTTAGGTACTAATAAAATTCATCCCTATAATTTTATTATATGTCACTTTGGTCCTTAAGTCCAAAAGAATGTGTCTTGAAGCCCTAGTGGCAATATTGTAATTATAGACAAGAGGAGTACGCTAGGCGTACACTTGTCAGGAGGAAACCCTAGATTTTAGGGTTTGAGTGGTATTTAAGCATCCTTATGGCTCATTTATCTCCACCTTTTCATCCTCCATTTCCTTTGGGATGTTTTTGCAAAACCCTATCCCCTTAGAGTGTGTTTTGAGCCCAAGAGTGTGTTTTTGGTGTGTTAAAGGAAGAAGAAGTTGCATCAAGAAGCTAGGAGGCTTAAAGAAAGGCTTGGATGTAGAAGTTTTGCTCTTTTCTATCTCAAGGTATAAAGTTCATACCTTGATGGCTTGTTTGCTAGATCTCATTTGTGGGTGTTTTATGTTTCTTTTTGGTCCTAAATGTTCCATCTTGAGCATGGCATGTTTTGGACGTTTTGAGTCGTCTTTTCAGAGGGGTCCTTAGCCATAAAAATGAGGCCCCAATGGCTAGAATTGCCTCATGCATCTTGTAGAAGGTCTTAATTGATTAAGACATTGTGTTAAGGACTTTTTAGACGTGAAAAGTCATAAAGTTGGAAATTTTACGACTCTAGGTGCATTTGGACCATGATCTAAAGTATGGGCTTGAGTGCTCAAGCCATTAAGCACTTAATGAAGTATTGGGCTTTGCGAGGGTACGCCCCGCGTAGGTGGGAGTATGCCCCGTGTACTCGATTAGCCACCTTGTAACTGGTTAATGCGAGGCTTCGCATACGCTAAGCGTACTTCTGGGTTATACCCCGCGTACTCACATGAGTCAGCCCTTTTGAGTTGACTCGGTTGGGTTGACTCGGCTAGGTTGACTCAGTTGGTTTAATTGGTTTGACCAGTTGACTTTAGGTTTGACCAACTTTGACTTTGAGGGCATTTTGGGTATTTCTGGATTTTAATGGAATTGGTCACTTGGTGGATGTAGGTATAGTGTAGAGAGCTGAGATTCGGAAACAGGCCTCATCAGTTCAATCCAGTTTGCGAAGTGAGTTTTCCTCACTGAACTTATGGGTCAAAGGCACCAAGGTCGGCCCATTGGTTCGATAACCTGATATTTGTTGATATGTTGAGTATGGAATAGATATGCATGCTAGTTTTGATATGTCGGTCTGGTACATCTGTAGGACTACCTGTGATATTGTCTAATTATATGTGTATGTTATTATCTATTATATGTTGACATATTGTGTAGGTTGGGTTGTGACTGTACTGCTCTGTGCGGTAGGCAACAAACCCTAGAGCAACCCAGATATGAGCTGAGGGTCGGGGAAATGAACATTCCAGATACGAGCTGAGGGTCGGGAAAGGCATGTCAAACTTGTATTGAGGGCTTAGTAGTATTCAGTTTGAGGACTGATCTGGTCGGGGAGAAAGCCAGACATAAGTTGTGGGCCGAGGGCAAGCCAGACTTATGTTGTGGGCTCAGGGGTAATCCAGTTTGTTAGTTGTGGATCCATTGGATGTTGTTATTGTATATGTATTATTTGTTGTGTGTTGGTATTTTTAGGGAACTCACTAAGCTTTGGGCTTATAGTTTTCAATTATGTTTCAGGTACCTAAGAGAATCGCGGGAAGGCAAAGGTGTGATCGTTCACCTCCTCGTAATTTGTTTCATAATTTTGGGAAAACTTTGATATTAAACATGTTTGAAAACTATTTTGTAAACAATGATGATTTATGGGTTGTTTTAAAAGTTAAAATTTTTCTTGAATTTTATGGATGTTACAAGTTGGTATCAAAGCCTTGGTTTGAGTGAATTAGAGGAACATTCGTGTGAATCCAGTCTCAAACTAAGGAGAAAGGATTTTAAAATAAAATTTAAATGGTTTTCAAATAATCAAGGAGAATGCAAGGTGTATGATCAGCCGAAACCAGTAAGTAGACCCCAAAATACCACACTATTATTAATATTGTGATATGTTAAACCAACATGCTAGTTATAGGCTAGGGATCTTCAGGAATTACATGATAGAATTGCCTGATTACTTGATGCCTAATAGCCTATGACCTTTCTTTATATGAAATTGACATCATTATTGTAGTTGCTTAGTGCATGCATGATTGTTATATATAACTAAGATTCTATAGCTTGAGAAATGTTTGGTTTGACCTTATTTCCTGTTCTTGTTTGATGAAGGGCTTAGGGTAGGATCACGCATTCGACTATCTATAGGGTCCAGTGTTATGTATGACTAGCATACACGAGTGCTGCAGGGTTGGTGGAAGTTTCATGGATGAGTTATGTGGGGTCAGCCGACCAGTTTTGAGATGTTTAGCCTTTTCTCTAGGGAATGAGGTTGTTTTTATAATTATGATAGTGTGTATTTTTAGGGTTGTTGTGATGATCCTCTAAGACAAATACGAGTAGGTGTGGAAGGTAGTATGGGCCCGTACTACTAAAAGTATATGACTTGTACGCGTAACAGAGAAGTCACGAACCCTAGGGCTTTGTTGGGAGTTGGTTCCCCTACTATGATATGCGTATTATCTGAGTCATGTTGGTTTATTTTCAGTATGGTGACTACGAGGCGATTTGAGGTTGGGTCTGGATCGAGATCTGGAGCTAGCAGACAGGGTAGGTCAGTTGCATTGGATGACAAGATCAATGTAACATCCCAATTTTTAGGAATAAAATTTTAAGTATTTTATGCGTTTTCCCTTATAACTAGACGAGTTGGGAGGCTCCAACTCATCGTGTAGAGACCGAGATGGCCGCACTAACTTTAGAACCTACTCGACGAGTTGGAGGACCCAACTCGATGATTTGAAGTCGGATGTGAAAACCCTAATTTTTAGGGTTCTTATTTAAAGGACCTTAAGTCCTCTCTCCAGCCTCCCTTACCACCTTATTGTCCAGAAACAAACCCTAATCGAGGTAACCATCCATTTTAAGTGTGTGTAAGGCTAAAGAGTGTGTATTTGGTGCATTTCTTGAATAAACTCGAAGATTTAAGAGCTTGGAATGAGAAGGAGCTTATAGATCCGACATCTACTCAGTTGTAGCAACCTTTTGAAGGTAAAAAGTCACTACCTTGATCACATGTTTGTTAGATCTCTCCATTAGAGAGTTTATGGTCATTTCTAGCTTCTTCTTGAGTCATTCTTGGTTTTGAGCATGCTTTGAAGCTAAGACTTCGGATCTAGACACCACTAGGACCCTTAGGCCTAAAGAATCAAACTTTATCAAGCTTTAGCCAACTTTCAAGCCTTAAACCCCTTTGTTAAGCCTTGTTTTAGCAATTTACCCCCTTAATGCCATGCATGGACGTAAAGCTTGCAACTTTACGTAGTATCTCAGCCCTAGAAGACTAGATCTACAGTTTGGAGCATTGGTTTCGTTTAAAAGCGTTTGAATGAGAAAAAAGGTTAAAGGAACTCAACGATATGCTTAGCCAACTCGACAAGTTCGTTAGGGTTTTCCCGCTTCTGGATTCTGAGTGAACTCGACGAGTTGGTGAGACAACTCGATGAGTGGTTAGGTTTTTCGTCGATTTCTGGACACTACATGGACTCGATGAGTTGTTTTGGCAACTCGCCGAGTTCACTCGAGATTTCATAGGTCCTCCGAGCTCTGAAGGAACTTGACGAGTTAAGTTAACATGGACTGTTGACTTTGACTTTGACCAAGTTTGACTTCTGAGGGTATTTTGGTAATGTGGGTCTTGATAGAATTGGTCCTATGGTGGTTGTAGGTGTTGGAGCTTGGAGTTGTGTTTGGGGAGATTGACATTATCATCCAGCACTACTTGCGAGGTGAGTTCTTCCCACTATATCAACAGGATCTAAGGCACTAAGGCTGACCCTTTTTGGATTGTATCCTTGTTATAGGATGATGTTATGTTAGTGATCTGTTAGATCTGTATCATGGTTATAGGACGATGCTATGTTTAGTGATCTGGTAGATCAGTATCCTTGTTATAGGATGATGTTATGTTTAGTGATCTATTAGATCGGTATCCTGGTATATAGGATGATGCTATGATTAGTGATCTGTTAGATCTGAATGATTATTTGTACATGCTAGCTAGCGTATGATATTATGTGTTTATTGTATGAGTGAGGGTGGGTTGA